ATGTATGTAATGTATGTAATGTATGTAATGTAATGTAATTTAATGTAATGTATGTAATGTATGTAATGTATGTAATGTATGTAATGTATGTAATGTATGTAATGTATGTAATGTATGTAATGTCATGTAATGTATGTAATGTCATGTAATGTATGTAATGTATGTAATGTATGTAATGTATGTAATGTATGTAATGTATGTAATGTATGTAATGTATTTAATGTATGTAATGTATGTAATGTATGTAATGTATGTAATGTATGTAATGTATGTAATGTATGTAATGTATGTAATGTATGTAATGTATGTAATGTATGTATGTAAGTATGTAATGTATGTAATGTATGTAATGTATGTAATGTATGTAATGTATGTAATGTATGTAATGTATGTAATGTATGTAATGTATGTAATGTATGTAATGTTTTGTATGTAATGTATGTAATGTATGTCATGAATGTAATGAATGTAATGTGTGTAATGTATGTAATGTATGTAATGTATGTATATGTAATGTAATGTGTGTAATGTATGTAATGTATGTAATGTATGTAATGTATGTAATGTATGTAATGTATGTATGTAATGTATGTAATGTATGTAATGTATGTAATGTATGTAATGTATGTAATGTATGTAATGTATGTAATGTATGTAATGTATGTAATGTATGTAATGTATGTAATGTATGTAATGTATGTAATGTATGTAATGTAATGTAATGTGATGTAATGTAATGTAAAGTAATGTAATGTAATGTAATGTATGTATGTAGGTAGGTATGTATTTATGTATTTATAAATATATATATATATATGTATATTATACAAGTTTTTTCAAGTCATCTCAGTTATCTGTCAGTTATCTCAATGAAATCGGATGACATTGGTGGCTTTTCCCGGCCACAGATGCTGCAACCCAGGCTCCGCAGCTGGATGTGAGGCTCACAGACGGACAGGCCAGTGTTGAAAAAATGATGGCACAATGATGGCACGATGTGATGGCACGATGGCATGGACGGCTCCCCCGGAAATTGGTTTCATTTTGATCACCCCATCACCGACGACCCGGTCAGTCACTCGTCACCCTGATTTTTTTGAGCACTGGTTTGAAAGGTTTGTCCAGAATTCACCAGATTCCTCACCGTTTTCTTACCCAGGGCTGGCCCGGCCCATTCGACTCCTTGAAATAGACCTTGCCTGCATGGTTTTCTTTCTTTTGATCGGGATTTCTGATCTGCGAATTCATGCAATAGGCGGCATCATGCAACTCTTGCTGCAGGTAAGAGAAATGATGGACGAAGACAGGGGGTCTTCACTGAAGTGCCTGATCTGAGACCAAATCGGTCCGTTGACAGCACTTTCTCTGCTTGCAGTAATCTGACGCATGGCTAGCAAAACTAGCGATAATCATTGCATCATACCCATGAACTTTCTCTGGCTTTGGGAAGTAGAACGTTGGGCAAACACATGGCCAGAAACACGAAGCTGCTTTGTGAATGAATTGCACCGTTGGATGGCCACCAATTTTGGTACAGTTAAGAGACCATGTGCTACTTGTTCAACTACTTGCGAGTGTGAAATCAAAACGCTGCTGGCCTGCTGTTGAGGCTCTTGTTCCAGCTTAGAAGGACCTTGTGTCCGAAGGTGCCAAGCAGATTGGTGGGAATGAGCAGAGGTTGATCCTCATAGCCTGTATGTAACCTCCTCATCTTCTCGCTTTGTTGGTGGAGTGCAACAGCGTCGACAAAACCCACACATGACCAACGATTTTTCCAACTTGAAGGGATTTGTACAACACTTGAACTGCGCTTTGCTCAGGCTTTGTGTAGGGTATGTGTAGGTGTTGTGGGCAGTAGGCTGCGTAGGCTTCGCATAGGCGGGTTCAATACAGCTTCGTTTGCGGGTGCTGTGTGGGCTTTGCGTAGTAGTGGTATAGGCGAACCATAAAAGAAAGTACAAAGGGGCAGACAATTAAAAAACAGCATTGCTGATATGACTCACAAGTTTCTGCTGTTTGTTGGTCACAATGGGGTCATTTCTGAAGCTGTGCTTTGTACATGGTCAAGCTGGCTGCAGGCAAAGGGCTCTGTGGTCATGGCCGCAAAGGCCTGCGGAATAGTATGGTCTTGGTGAAATTGATGATTCTCGACTGGTATGTATATATACATATGTCATATATATATATGATTACATATGCATTACATGCATAGAGAAGTGGCAATGGTTGTTTAGATTCTTTGTGCCGAGATCACTTTGAATGCCTCAAGTTAGAAACCTCCATGTTCTGCCAGGGAGGCCAGAGCCAACCTCGCCTTCAGAAGCAAGTGAAAGAAGAGCCTGAGGAGTCTTCAGATGTCTTCAGTAGTTGCAGTATGCCCTCAGTAGTATATTCACCGCATTTGGAACAAGTGCCCTGTTGGGAGCAAGGAATAGCACCTCAAGTTCAAAATTTGTGTTGCTTTGCTTGTGTTACTTTCTAATTTGTTGATGTTGGTGCTGGTGCGTGTTGTGAGCTTGGGTGTTTCCAGTAGTAGTAGTAGTAGCAGCAGCAGCAGTAGCAGCAGTAGGAGGAGGAGTAGGAGTAGTAGGAGTAGCAGTAGCAGCAGTAGCAGTAGTCGTAGTCGTAGTCCTAGTCGTAGTGGTCGTAGTAGCAGCAGTAGTAGCAGTAGTAAGTACTTCTTCTTGTTGTTGTTGTTGATGATCACGATGACGATGACGATGACGATGATGATGGCGACGACGATGATAATGATGATGATGATGATGATTATGATGATGATGATGATACCAATCAGAATTTTTTGTCCTTGTGAGTCCTTGTCCTTTTCATTCTTGGGAGTAGCTCTTTGTGCAAACAATATTATATAATATGTCCAAAATTGGGTGCCATAACCTCTGTGCTCCCCTGACTAATTCAGACCATCGAATCAACTGGTAGACGGTAGTCTAAATGTGTTTGCACAAAGGCACGACCAAAATCGACCAAAACCAGCCACATTTTATTTGGTCCCTTTAACCCTAGTTGCAGAGCTACATGAATCCCAAGCCTGTGCTTGTAACCCAGTCCATACACAGCACTGAAATTGCAAATGTATTGCGTTGTAGATATTGTAGGATTGACTCCCACGCACGTAAAACCCCACTGGGGCACCAGGAGCAATTCTTTGATCAGCGCTTGAAGACACTGCGGCCCATTGATCATCGGTACCCCTATGAAGTGCATAACAAGGCGATGCTGGTACCGAAGGATGGAACCAAATTGTGAACCATTCAAAAAGGTGTCACAGATACGTTGACAAGAAATGAGATCCTGTCTTTCAAATATTTTATTTTCGAGGCCAAGCCAGTTGAGCAATGGGGGTTTGGAGCCTTCACCGTTCTTGGACACAATGAAATGTAGGTGCCTGGAAGTTGGGTAGTTCAAATTCACTCATTGCGGCAAATCGCGAGAATATAGAGACGCGTTTAGCAAAGTCAAGTTAGGCTTTTAAGGCTTCCCAAGCCAGTGACTTTGGTCGGAGTAACTTTGGTTTTCCTCAAGTTGTGTTGGCGAATTGATGTGTCAAATTACAAAATCTTGAGAAGGGATCAAGTTCCAAGCCTCAAGGTCTAGGTACGCAAGGGTAGCAAGCTTTGTGCATAAGCCAGTGTCAGTATGCTATCTCTCCAACGTGTAGCACATGAGTGGGCATTGACAGGTTGTTTTCCAACAGAGCAGTCAGAAAGTGATCAGTAAGATCAGTAAGCAAAGTCGCAAAGACATACTAAAGACATACTAAAGACATACTAAAGACATACTAAAGACATACTAAATCTAAATGTAAAATGAAAAGATATACCCGGCACATTTTTTGATACCGGGATGCTCATGTCGCAATTGGTTTTACACAGCTAAATCTTGAGTTTGAAATTGCCACTTTTCACTTTGTACTTAAAAATTATTAAAGTACTTGTTCTGAGTACTACGGAAGCGGGCCCTGTGGCAATCCGGCTGGAACTGCTCAGCATTTCGTGGACGAGCACACGCAGCAGCTGCGCCATGCTCGAGAGTGCGAAGCGCAGGTGCCGAGTGCCGAGATGTGCCATGGCTCCGTACCATGGGCTTAGCAGCCAGGGTTTGGAAGTTTAGAAGATACCGTGACCAAGTCCTGGTGCCAGCCACAAAATATAAGGAGCGGATATTTACTTAGTGTACCCAGAATAGGAAGGCAGATAACCGGAGTCCAATGGAGCCGACACCGGAATTCTACGAGTCATCCAAACAGGTCCGAGTTGTTAAAACTTACTTCGAACCGCTCTACCAAGCCATTTTGAGTGATGTCAAAGCCCGACAAACAGCTGCCAATTTGCGTATTTCAAATTGCCCACTGTCAGCACAAAGTGCTACCAGCCGGCAGGAAGTAGCCCAGAGGAGACAAAATGTACAAGACTTTCGGTTGACGCAGCACGACAAGATGTGGCCAACGGCATGATTGCTGAGATGTGTTCAGAAGTTAAAGGTGAAAATTCCCAATTGAACGCTTTTACAAGGCTGATTGCTTTGCTATGTGGAGATACCTTCGGGGGCTTTCACCAGACTGCGGGAATAGTCCTACCAATCCGCTCAATTCATCGGTCTCAAGCAGAGTCAAAGAAGAATCTGGAAACAACAAGGTCCAACAATAAAAGGTACTGAGCAGTGTTCGAAGGAAGTTTAGAAGTCAAACTTCCGACAATATGGACAGATGAAAAGCAGAGATGGGAAGAGTCAGAGAGAAGAGAAGAGTAGAAGAGAGAAGATGATAGAAGATAAAGAGTCAGAAGAAAGAAGGTGAAGATGCGCGAAAAGGTAGAAAAGCCGCGAAACACTCTGTTTTTCCAATGATTTGTGTTTGTGGCTCCGGAGGTTCGAAAAGTAGGCTCGCTAAAGCGGCGGGTGCGGAGCCATCTGGCCAGATGAGAGATGAAAAATTGCACGCCGTTGTGGCGC